CCGGTCGACCGACCAGCGATTTGATTGTTTCCTTCTTCTTTTGATTCCAGCTTTGGGTCTCCCACATAGAGACCAAAGCGCCATCAACAAGCTCTCCCGGAACTTCTGACTTCTTTGCAAGCATTTTCTCTTCCCGGATAAATCCATTGTTCAATCATCATCTTATCGACGACCCCACCGATCCTCCTGGTGTGGCTCTGCCTTCATCTCCTACGCGTGAAGGCCAACTGAAATTGCGCACAACTCTAATTTCTCGATGGTCACTGCTTTCGTCAACATAACCGCAGGATTTTAACTCTCCAAAATCTTCTCTAGCTGTAACTTCCCGTCCTCAATCAGCGAGCGTATGAAATGGTGTCATATATCGATGTGCTTCGTTCTGGTATGATATATTGGATTCTTGGCAAGGTGTATAGCGTTCTGGCTATCACAATAAAGAACTCTGTTCCCCCACTTCAGATCTACCTCTTCCAGGCACCCAGTCAACCAAATCATCTCCTTACTGACTTCAGTCACTGCGACATACTCTGCCTCAGTTGTGGACAATGTTACAATCTTCTGCAGACGTGAGACCCAACTCACTGCTGTCAACACCAAGGTATAAACATACTCTGTGGTACTTCGCCTCGTATCATGATCACCGACAAAATATGCATCCACGTATCCCCACAGTATCAAATCCTTCCTCCTGAAATTCCTAACGACTTGTCCGTAGTCCCTCTCAAGTAACGCAATATCCACTCCACGGCCTCCCAATGTTGCTTCACTGGATTGCTTGCAAACCTGCTCACAACTCCCACTGCATGGATAATATCCGGTCGCGTGCAAACCATCACGTACATAAGACTACTAATGACTGATGAATATGGCACTCTACTCATATGATCCTTCTCTACATCTGTCTTGGGTGATTGCTCCTCGGATAACTTGAACTGACTTCCAAGAGGCGTGGTAACAACTTTAGTATTCTGCATGTTGAACCTATGAAGTACCTTCTCGATGTATTCAGTTTGACTCAACTTTAACGTCCTTTCAACTTCATCTCTATTGATTCGCATCCTAAGAATTTACTTTGTTGCATCCAGATTCTTCATAGCAAACTCTTTCGCCAATTACTTTTTCAAGTTGTTTATGTCCTCTAAACACGGTCCTGCAACTAACATGTCATCAACATATAATAATAACACGATATAGCTAGACTCGAACCTCTTGAAGTAGCAACAATGATCTGAATTGCATCTTGCATAGTCATTACTCTGCATAAAGTTGTCGAACTTCTTATATCACTGTCTCGGAACCTGTTTCAAACCGTACAAGCTCTTCTTGAGCTTACACATCATCTCTTCCTTTCCTTCTTCAATGAAGCCAACAGGTTGCTTCATGTAGATTTTTTTTCATCCAAGTTACCATGAAGAAAGACAGTCTTCATATCTAACTGCTCAATGTAGAGATCTTCTACAACTACTAAGCTCAACACAACTCTAATGGTTGTAAGCTTCATAACGGGAGAAAATATCTCCGTATAATCCACTCATTCTCGCTATTGGAACCCCTTCACGATTATTCTGACATTGTATCTCTTGCTTCCATCACTCTCCTGCTTGACTCGGTAGACCCATTTGTTATGTAGGGTTTTCTTTTGTGCAGATAGCTGGGCTAACTCCCATGTCTCATTCGAGTTGAGAGAATCCATCTCTTCTTACATCGCATGCTCCCACTGCTGAGATTCACTAACTTGTATAGCTTCCTTATAGTACTCTGGTTCTCCACTAGCTGTCAAAAGCAAATAATCTAGTGACAAAAGATATCTACGATTCGGTTTGGGTACCCTGGATGACCTCCTAAGCTCCACGTCCTGGGTAGTCGTCTCTACACCTAGAGTCTCCTCCGTTTTTCGGTCAGAACTAACATTATCTCTCCTATCTGGAAGTTCTTCTAAATCCATGTACTCGGATCCACCTGCATCCTTAGTACTGTTCCCACTGTTTTGGCTATCCTTGGTATTATTCATGTCCTAGTACATCACCTCCTTATTGAGTATCACATCTCTGCTCCTGATGATCTTCCTGTTCTTCTCATCCCAAAGACGATATCCGAACTCATCAGTGCGGTATCCAATGCATGTACACTTATGTGACTTAGCTTCTAACTTGTCCCTGGCATGGTCACTAATATGAACATATGCCACACAACCAAATACTCGCAAGTATGAGAGATTGATCTTCTTACCACTCTAAACATCCTCTGGAATCCCGTAATCCAATGGAAGTGATGGCCCATGATTAATCAAGTAAGTTGTTGTATGCACCGTATCCACCCAAAATATCTTAGGCAGACTTGCATGTAGACGCATGCTCCTCGCACGCTCTGTCAATGTCTTGTCCATTCTCTCTACGATGTCGTTCTGTTGTGGCATCCCTGGAGTAGTCCTCTCCAAACGAATCTCGTTTAGAGCACAGAACCTCTTGAACTCCTCCAGCTTGTATTCTCCATCGTTGTCTGATCTTAGACACTTCACATTTAGATCTGTCTCGTTCTCCACCATGGCCTTCCACTTCTTGAAAATCCCGAACACTTTTGACTTGTGTTTCATAAAGTATACTCACACCTTCCTCGAGTGATCGTCGATAAAGGTGATATAAAACGTCGAACCGCCAAGAAAAGACACACTAGCTGGACCCCATAGATCTGTATGAACTAACTCTAGCTTTTGAGCTTTAGGTGGTCTTTCACCCTTCTGGAAACTAACTCTCTTTTGTTTCCCAAAGATGCAGTCCTCGCAAACACCGACTTTCACAAAATCGATTCTGGTTAGCTTCCCCTGTGAATGTAAAATCTTTATCCCCTTCTCGCTCATGTGTCCCAATCTATTATGCCACAGATCCGTACTTTCTTTGCTAGCTATAATTACGAGGGTGTCACTCGCATGTGAGATGAGGTAGAGAGTTCTTGTTTTGTTACCACGGGCAACAACCATCGTACCGTTGGAGATCCTCCACGAATCTCCGGTGAATGTTGAAACATAGCCTTCTGCTCCAAACTGTCCTACAGAAACAAGATTCTTCTTCAGCTTCGGTATGTGTTTCACGTTTTTCAGATTCCACTTGGAGTCCTTCATCTGTATTTGCATGTCACATCTTCCAATAATATTACAAGGCTCGTTGTCCCCCAAATATACTTTTTCTAAGGTCCCCTGCTACATAATTTTGGAAAAGCTTTCTATTAGCAGTGGCGTGAAAAGAGGCTCCTGAGTCGATGACCCAAGAATCAGAGTCACTGTCCATAACAAGGATCAATGCATCCTACGCGATATGAGCCTCCTGCTCACCTGTATCCTTCTTAGGCGTTTTGCAGACTGAAAACATTTGGCAATCCTGGCCGTAGTTCCAACACTTCTCTTTGATAGGCCTAACGTTCGAGTTCGACCTCTTCTTAACTAACTTCGATCGATTCTTGTTCTGGTTCCCTTTCTTCTGGCTTTTCCCTCTTTGCTCAAAATTTAGAGCTGGACCTGAACCTTCTAATTCAGATGTTTTTCTTCTAACCTCCTCGAATAGAATCATGCTCATAATTTCGCTCAGCTTCAACTTGTCCTTCCCCGTCAAATTCCTGATTGCTGTCATACAACCTGCCCAACTATCCGGTAACTGTGATAGTAATAATAGGGCATGCACTTCGTCATCGAAAGTAATATCTACGGAGATAAGCTGATCAACAATCGTGTTAAACTTGCTGAGGTGCATCGTGAAGGATCGTCCTTCTGTCATCTTGAGGTTGAAGAGGGTTTTGACGAGATGCACCTTATTTGCGGCTGACGGTTGCTCATACATCTTCGTGAGCACTTCCATAAGCCCCACCATCATCTTCTCCTTTAAAATATTGTGGGTGACTGTCTTAGCGAGCGACAACCGGATTTATCCTAGAGTCTTCCTATCCAGTATCTCTCAATCCTCGTCTAACTCTTCTTTTTTCTTTCCCTTAACATTGCCCTTCAACGGGCGATACAAATCCTTCTAGTACAGATAGTCCTCCATCTGCAACTTCCAGTAGGCAAAGTCTGAACCGTCAAACTTCTCGATCTTAGATTTGCTTTCCTCTGCCATGGCTTTCACACAAACCTTTTGAACGAAGCTCTGATACCAGTTGTCGGGGTTTCGAAACAATCAAATCGAATTCGTGCCCTTTCGGACCTTATGCTGAGAGTAAGAAAGTGGAAAATCACCGTAAATAAAAGATAAAACTTGCAGGAAAGTAAACAAGAAAGAACACACCAGATTTAACGAGGTTTGACAACATGCCTACATCCTCGGAAGTCACACTACATAATTCTTTGATTAATTGAAGAAGATTACAATGCTCCTAATAAGCCTCTCTCTCTCTAAGAAATTTGATCTCAAAGACTTGTCAAAAAACTCTATTTTTATGTCTTATTAAACCCTAAAACATATAAGAATATATATAGAAGTCTGGGTGGAAACAGAATCCCGATCAAAACATAAATCTGTAAAAAACGTCGTTGGTCGACCGAACCTAATGTTTTGGTCGACCGGCCAGAACGCAGTTTTCTTACAGGGTCGGGTGCACGCTTTTGGTCGATCGGACCATCACCTTCGGTCGATTGGATGACCACTCTCGGTCGACCGCCATCTTGTGTCGGTCGACCGGCTAGAGTGATATATTCTCCTCAGTTTTCTACAGGGTTCGCAGTCGACAGGATATCCTCCTCCGGTCGACCGACCAACGATTTGACTGTTTTCTTCTTCTTTGATTCCAGCTTTGGGTCTACATCACTTAGACTAACAGTTAAATCATTGTGTGATGTTCTCTTTGTCTATACATTGTTTATTCAGTGTTGTTATTATCCACTTTTGTATAGACATCTTTTGTGTCTGTGTAGCCCCCCACCCACCCACACCCACCCACTATAGACGTTGTTAACGTACAAATATTAACGTATCTGATTCAAACAAACAATTAAACTCTGAAATATCATTCTGGAGATTTATCTGGAAAATGCGATGGAAAAATACTCCATTTACATCTTAAAGAATCAGACACACATGTTCAGCAAGTGTAACGACCCAAACCAAGGCACGACTTGACAATGTCACACATTGGCATCAGAGATGATTTGAATGTGGCCGATGATAATAACCTTGACACGAGAATATTTGTTTTGAGAAAATTAAAAATAAAAGACAGTATCGAGCGAAGACACTTAAATGGAAAGTAGACTCAGCTAAATCTAACTGCCTGCATTAATTGACACCAATGCAAACAAATTATTGACCAAGCATGAAAGCAGGGTGGCCCAGTGCATGAGTCTCCCACTGCTGTGGAGTCTTGGGAGATGTACGCAGCCTTACCCCATGCTGTCTCTGAGACTCGAGCCCCTGACCTCTAGGCTAGACTCGAGCCTGTGACCTCCATGCTCTTTCTAAGACTCGAACCCGTGACCTCTAGATGACAAGACAACAACCTAACCCGTTGCACCAAAGTTCACCCTTTCTTATTTACAAATTATTTACCAAGCATCACCCTAAAGCTCGCCCTTTCTTATTGACAAATTATTGACCAAGCGTCACCCCATAAAATAGCCGAATTCATCATCACCTGTTTGTGCATGGGAGCTTGTGGCTAATAATCTCATGAATTCTTCAGGGGCATTTGACTCAGGTGTCATGGACTATTTGGTATCTTCTGCCGACGAGAAGCTTTGCGGTTCAGGTATTGCAAGCCCGGCGGGCCGATTTGCTTGATATTTCTTCCTTTGTTTCTGAAATGAATAAATTAGGAAACATGGTAAATGATTAAACTGATGATTAATCTATAAAGCATAGGCAATAGGGATAAGGCAAAGCTCTCCAATATGAACAGGAATAGTAAAACGAAAGCAGCCTTCATTTGATAGGTCATATATCCTAGAAAATTGAAATACATTAGGAAAATTCAACATAATTGCATAGGAAGAAAGCCTTAAGTCGAGTTTATCGATGGTGGTTTCTGAAAAGAAGAAAAAGGATGTGTAAAAATAAACTATTGCATGTTTTATACTTCAAATCTTAGAAGATATTTGACAGCAAAGCACATTGCACGATATAAGCTTCTTTCGACCAACTTTTTGTAAAATTAAGGCGGATGCTAAATCTCTCGACTTCGTAATTGGACAAACTACCAACGGCTCACCAAAATACTACATAGGCATTTACAGAAAATGTGCAGGTTCCATGTTGTAATAAAAGAGGAAAATGCATGACATCGTAAGTGGGGCAGGATAAAATCATAAGCACACAACTCCATTTAAAATATAAGAACCTCTAATTGAAACCATTTTTAGCAACTTCTCACTCTCAGTGAATATTCGTAGAGAGTTCCAGCCACATACATCAGGAGAAAGCCAAACCTTCTCAAAGAATTAAGCTTTAAAATCACTTTAAAATCTAATAATATCTATATGAATCTACAACTAAACATAAATGTTTGATTACAAAAAATAAGGTGAATTCATCGTGTACGGGTAAAGTGACTGACTACTATTTCATGCACACTGATTCCTTTTATGAAATTCTAGTAAATAAATATTTCCAATCCGCAAGAAAAACTCAATCAAAACAAAATGGTTATAGTTTAAGTATGACCAAATTTGCAATTGATGTATGAAAATCAAGTTAACTACTCGTATTTCTGATGGTTGCGATATGCATTTTGCTTTATCTCTTGGTAAAACACTACAAGGGTTAAAAAAGTAAGTATTGTTATCACTAAAGCTCTCACGCATTTTCAGCAAGAACAAACCTACTTTTATTATGGACTTCAGATGAGAAAGTTGATCGAATATAGAGATGGCTCGTGTTGTATAAAGTGAAACGTTAGCACATATTTAAGAAGTTAGATTAATTAAGTACCTTTTCCACAAATTGATCATGGACCTTTAAAAGATGCGTATACCGCTGATGCTCATAATATAGTTGTTGGTTTTCATCAGAAACAGGCCTACGACCATTGAAAATATTTTGCCTGTGATCATGATTGTTTATGGAGGAAACAACCAAATCTTCATCTGAGAATCGAAAAGTTTCACCACTCCTCCACGATTCAGATTCTATAGAACTCCGGTTTCTCACAGAAGAAAGTGACTGACTTGATGCTGGTCGATATCCTTCATCTCCTTCCACTGGACCATTTATTTGCCATTGTAAACTCTGAGAGGTGTCTGCTGCAGCAAAGTTTGCAAAATCAGCACCCATACCAAATTCCCCATATGCTAGTTTTGATATATGATTAGTCAAATCAATTCCTTTGTTTCCTCCAACCCATTCTGAGTCAGCAGCAGTAGGATACTCGATAACAGCAGGCTCAACAACTGCTTTTTCTCTGAACAGCATTATTAAAGAACCATCATGGTAAATATTCAAAGCCACAAACAATTAAGAACTGACATAGGAAGAAAATGATGAGCAATATTCTTTCAATATCATAAAAATTCGCAGTATGGAGACATGGTTCGAGAAATCTAGTAAGCAGGATAATCGAGTTTCTTTAAGCATGGACCTAGTAAACCTTGAAGAAAAGTTTTGAGCACCAACATTAGAATAGGAGAATAGCAGACTACACATGCAAATGACTTATTTCTTGCCCCTCATTTTCCTTTCCTTTTCTTTTCCTTTCTTTTCTTGATTTCCTTTCCTTTCCCTTCTTTTGTTTCTCTTTATACTCTTCACTTTCCTTTTCTTTTTTTTTCCTTTTCTTTTTTTCCTTTCCTTTTTCTTCAGTTTTTTTTTTCTTTTCTTTTTCTTTCCTCTTCTTTACCTTTCCTCTTTTTTTCTCTTTTTTTTATTTTCTTTTACTTTTCTTTTTTATTTACTTTTCTTTCTTTTTTTTCTTTCCTTTTTTTTATTTATTGCATATGTTCTTGGAATCCTAGCTAATGTTGGCCAAAGTTTCGAGAAGATCGTGGCAGTGGCTGATATCAACCAGTTGACAAGGTTGACGTGGAAGAACACAAACAGGGTGGCTGATGCGACAGTGAGGAGATATACATTAAGGACGGCTATTGCGATCAATGACGACATCCGTTAGCAATGGCAGAGACATCATGAATCTATGAAGGCGGCGTGAGCAACAAGTTCCTGATGACAAGATTATAGGAGAAAACTTTGCTTAATAGAGTTTTTTCAGCAGACCTGAAGATGAAAAATGAAATCAGTCAAGATGACGAAGTCGCTGAGAGGAAGGACAGAGATGACAAGGGAAAACCCTTTCGCCCCTAGGTTGCCTTGAGGTTGATGAAGAAGAAAGAGTACTCCACGATCAAGAATTTGGCTACGATACCATATTGAAATCAGAGAATTAGAGAGAGGAGAGAGTTGATTTACCTCTCCTCTCTACCATTATTTATAATAAGAATATTAATCCAAATACCAATTACATCAAAATTAAATATTTCTAAACTAAATAAGCATAACAATTTTCTAATTAAATTAAGTCATCTTGTAACAAGGTTTAAAGAGGTTTCTTATTTTTCTGAATTATGACAGTGTAGAGTTATAATCAACAGATCACAAGGCCAATGAGATGGATATGGTCTACATTTAGCTGTTAGATGTGATGTAGGATAAATTTTTATAATATCCATTACCTTTGCTTTTGTCCCCCTTTTATTTGAGGGTTTAGACCATGTGAGATTTCGTAATGTTTGTATCCACTCATTTTCAGAATTGTTTTGTTGAATGCTTATAATCAAACATTTTGGGGACTTAAACCTCGAAGTTTCTCTCATGAAAAGATATGTCTATTATTTATGTTCACTTATACAACAACAAAACTTTTATCCCAAATATTTATGATCGGCTACATGAATTAGCTCTTCCATTCCTCTCTATTATGGGGCATCTCCTCCGTTAAGTTAACAATTATCATATTTTTCTCAATCGACACCAACATTATTATGTTCTTCTCAATTGACACCAACTTTTAGGCCTAGCTCTAGATCTCTTTGCCCCAATCAAAAAGATTATCACTTTTCCTAACATGTGCACTAAGAGGTCTCAGTTGTACATGACCAAATTACCTTTCTTCGATTCTCTCACATTTTATCCTCAGTAGGAGCAAACCTCCAATGATGCACTTATTTCTTATCATATCTTTTAGTGTACACTCGCAAGCCCATCGTAACATTCTAATTTCTGCTACATTCACTGTCATATAACCATCCTGTAGAATTTTTTTCTTTAGTCTCATTTATGTTCACTTATGTATGTCAAAATGAGATGACAGAATGCCCTGAACAGTCTTATACACAATTAGATTGGCTTTTACAAAAACTAATAAAAGGGTTTTGTTCATAAATACCCTCCAGGTCAAAAGTATTTTTAATTAACCTCAAATTATAAAAATGTCTGTTAACTTCCATATTAATGGCAGTTAAATATTTAACAATTTGATGTGATTTTTTATCCAAGTTTAACATGAAAAGTTGGAGGGCTCATTACAGTTTCAACTTTCAAGGGTAAGATAACAGTTATGATAGTTCGGGAATAATGTTAATAATACCTACAATTTCCTTTTGACAGCATGAATACCTACAATTGGGAAGGTTTTGTTTCAAGAAAATCCTTAAAATGATACTGGTCTCTATGTATAATCAAAGTTTAGCATAAAAAGAATCAAGAATGTCCAAATTTTTACCAAACAAATTCATGTTGATAAAGTTCTATAAATTCTAATCATACAAAATTTCAGTTCATGTCTAAGTGATTTAACTGTATTCCGGAAATGTGTCTTTAATATTTTATTCTACTAGATTTCAGAGGATTTGACTGCTATACATCCAAACAGAAGAAATAATAAATGAAAAGATGAGAAAATATAACGGGTTCATCTTCAAGAGCGATTCTTTGATTAGCTTTATTGGTCCATTCCAGAATAAACAAGTAAAAGACAATTAAATATTCTAACCTGTCATAATTTGCAGCCCAGTTAACTTCGGGATACTCCACAGCGAAAGAGCACGCTGGATCAGTATCAAAGTACAAAAATTCAGGAAGGCCCTCAGTGTCGGTATCATTGCATGATCCCGCATAGGTCATCAACGAATTATCAAAATCTTGACCAGTTTCTTTACCCTTCCAATTCCCATAGCTATCAAGTTCATACATTTCTCCATGTTGCTCACAACCAAGACTATTAGCTTGGGACACACTATAATTGTTGAACTGAGGCTCCCCATAAAAATGATGGTCGTCATTGAACGTGTGATGTGCGTGACTTGACACATCCACCATATTCTTGACACCAGGAAAGCCGTGCATGCATGAAACACATTCTCTATTTTCCTGAAGAATAATAAAAGAAGACCCTTCATTCTAACTTTGTAAGTGGGATATAGAAGCAAGAAGGTACAAGCAGAGAGTATGAGTTAATAAGAAAGTGCCGATTTTGACGTACTGATGCATGCGTTCCTGCACTTAATGAGGGCAGTATCACTATCTTCATGTAAAGTACCAATAACATATGAATATGCGTAGTAGCATCACTATTATAAGATTGCATGCTTCATTAGTTAAAAAAAAACTGAAATGCATTTGAGTAATATGATTAAGTTCATGAGGCAACATTATGACCTTTATTACTAAGGGTGATGAGAGAAACAACGAAAAAGTTCTAAACTGCCTAAAAATTGTAAATCAAACGATTTCTTTTTAGCTTTCAGTAGTTAAAATATTGAAGAGATAGGCAAATATTTTTCTGTTTCGGTAGCAATTGAGTGACTCCAGTAAGCCAATATATGGAACAGGGACGGAGCTTATTTTATACATACAAAGTTATATCTTGGTCAAGTTTCATTTCAACCTCATCGCTATTTGTAGATTTGACGGGATAATTGAACAGCTTGAGCATGGTAACCTCATGGAGCCACTTAACCACATATTCTGAGCAATAGCTTTCAATCTGGAGTAGTTTTGTGAACAAATAATTTTTAAAAAAAATTGTTTGGTTAGATGTTGTCGCAACATCAAACAGTAAAGGTTTTTGCCACAACAAAATAAGCCAGAAATAAGGGTGTTAGACCAACAAACTATGGTCAAATTCAAAAGCATTCCAGCAGCAGGAGTTGGAGAAACATGATGTTGGAACTTGGAAAAGCATTCATCGTTCCGACTTACTCCCAACCAACCTCGCCTTTACTGAGTGACACTCGGTAAATTTCACTTTTGAGTATACAACAGGCAAAGGCCTTACAAGTTCGAATATAATTAAAACTGTTAGTAGACTAGTTCTGCAAATCTAGCAAAAAGGTAAATTTTACCAGGAAAATCTGTAAAAAAGAATTGCTCAAGATCTTGAGCCTATGTCTAGCCATAATTATATGCAAGAAAAGTACTGAACAAAGCATGCCCACTTACCTGAAATTGTGCTTCGCCACCTCCTGTAATTGATGAAGAGTGTTCACTGGGGAAGACACTATATTCACCAAGAGGATCAAATCTAACTTCGACATCACCATTCAAGTGGGAGTCTGTAATTATATTAGTTAAATTGCCGGGAAAATTAACTTCTACATCAAGATTCAAGTGGGAGTCTGTTATTATATTAGTTAAATTGCCAGGGCAATTAATTTCTTCGGAAGCAATTCTGTCATGCATGCCGTCAATTCCCTGATCTGTTCTAAGCATTTCAGAGGATGTGGATGCCAGATCAGCATAATGGCTAAGATTAGATCCATTCAACAAACCTGACAAAAGAAACTCTTTCAATCAGATCAAAAGAGCAAGTGACGGTTCAAAAGCCAAGTGAATTATGATGTCATTACTCTTATCTTCTGTCATCACTAATTCAATAGCCTAACGAGACATACACAACGAACAATCATTAACAAACAGAAAGAAGAGATTAAAAAGATGATAGGTGTTTTGACTCTCCTCCACTATTTTGACAGCCTTCAATCAGTTCAGTGTTTAGCAAGTTCATCCGATTCGTGGAAGAAGAGTTGAGGAATTTATTCAAGCTTGTGATACTTACTATCGTGCACTGGGTTGGATTCTTGAATCGCGAAATTCGAAGAGTGTGTGCTTGTAGAGGAAGCAGCTCGAGGAGGATCAGCTCCTTGTGAGACAGTTGTTGGATCTGTATCTGAGGAGATTTTGCTTTTCTGGATAGAAGAGCTATTATTAAATAGTAAAACAACAGAACCAAAAGTTTGCCTTCCCCCTTCCAAAATGAGAAAACTAAAAGAATACAAGGTTTGTTAAGATCCATTGGAAGGACAATATTGAATGTTAATTAATATTCATTTTTACTTGTAGAGCATAGAATTTTGGGGTGTGAAAGATGAAGAGAAGGGCATTGTGCTTTATGTGAGACTGTGAAATATGAAATTGTGATCAGTGTACTTCGACAAACATTCAACAGAAATCAAATGCATGGGATATATGCATTTCCAAGTAATGAGCACTGTAATATTCCTTTGCGTCAAACCTATGTGTCGAAGGCATTAATACTCAAGGGAATGCAGGCAGGAACCATATCACCAGAGTATATCTTCATACACACAGAGGGGAAAAGGGAGGCTGCTGTGTCACACCAATCCCTTGGCTAGCAGGATGCTGATGTGTATGAAGATATAAAAATATAATAAACAGAAGGATCCTTTGAAATTGAAGAAAACTCCCTTCGATAATAAACACAATTGTGTGTGTACGTGTTGTTTGTTTATATTTTGAAGTACATAAATGTTAGAATATAAAAATATAATCATCAACCCTCAACATAACTTTGGAGTTGTAGTATAATGGTTAGATGCACTTTGTATTAAAGCAACCTAGGTTCAAATCCTATTGGTCATGAATTTAATGCAGATTTTTAAAAAAAAATGAAACTGCAGCGTGAGTCCACATTTCGGCCCATAAAAAAGACCCTCAACCCACGGAAGCATGATAGAATATAGAATATAATCCTCAACCCTCAACATAACTTTAGGGTTAACTTTAGGGTTGTGGTCTAACGGTTTGAAGGACTTTAAGGATAAACAAGGAAATCACAAAGAGCTCTAACTCGTATTTATTTAAAGCTCAGAAAGAAAATGCCATGTAATTATACTTCAGAGAGGCTGGGAGATAATACCTCACTCAGATCCCTGTAATGGACAAGGACAATTTTCTGTAATCTCCTGGAAGCAACAAAGCAAGATAAATGGTAAATGCTAAAACTAAAATAGTCAAAGACCACAGAAAAATCACAAACCTTAACAAGGACTAGAATTTACTTTATAGTACTAGAGGCACAACTTTTTTAATAGAGAAAAGTTGCATACAAACAACTTCGCCATCAGGATTTGTTTAGAACAGTTTGAGCCTCTAATCCAATGTTCGCATAGAACCAACTTAAACACTTAGTAGGATCTGCAGCATATGTTAAATCACATGCTTGTTATCTGCCTTACAATGGGCTAGTTTCTCCTGCCTTCACTATCTGACTATTCACACTTCAAACCAAGCCAAGTTAGGCAGGTGAACATTGAGTAGCAAGAAAATATGAGGTATGGTCCTTTATCGAAGTATACTCGTGTTTAAGCTTTGTGTTTAAGCCAAAGGGAAAGTCAAAGTCGGTATTATCGAACGACAATGAAACTAACGCAATAACATTAGTACAAAGATGTTTATGGACCACCTGAACTTGAACTAGGAACTAAAAATAAGTACGATGCAAAATAATTCAAATAGTTAAAGCATTCCGTATGGAAGATCCAAAACTAAAAACAGCGGTATTTTACATAGTAAATTTTGAATAGAAAATTCAACGAAAAAGTCAAAACCTTCTATATGTGGTAAAAATGAAAGCAAAATTCAAATCAAAAGATAAAAGACTTACTTATCAAGTAGCCAATAAGTTCTTCTCTGGAAATCTTTATTGTCCTCCCCATGAGCATAATAGCAATGAAGAACAGTTTCATCACCTACCTGAAAGGGGAGAACCGTAAGGTTGAAGTAAAAAAAAACTGAAAACTGATATAGGAGTTGTAAAAGCAATTCAGATGCATATAAAAGTTTAATTAAGTGTTAGACCACCACAATCAGCTGGTTGAACCAGGTTGTAACTAGCGGAGACTGTGACGGACTGACTGGGAATACAATAATGTAAGTTGCCTACAAAAAATAGCAGGGACAACCTTCCGAACAATCCCATAATCAAAGAAGAGAACTTAATAGAGCTCTACAAGATTAGATGATTAGAAAGAAAATAGAAGAGGGAGACATAGACAGGGAATCATAGAAATTAAAACTCGAGTTCAGTAACTTATCTCATTGTTCTATTACAATCGTTTCTACGTACATAACACATGAAACAACTTCTGAAGAGGTAATAGAATCCTAGAAATAATTCTAACTATGACTCACTACCAAGGTCAATGGGGTTATTATATGCCAAACACATAACTGGCACATATACCATGTGGAGCTATCAATTTGAGATCAGCAAAATCCTAGTTGTACAGATTCGAAGAATATGCTTAACTGGTGTTTTCGCGTAGTTCCTCAAGAATGCTTGTGGAGATAAATACAAGAGTTATAGTTGCAATCATATATCATAAACCTTACTGTTGGATATTTAATGTGCAACTGAACGATGATGGGTTTTGTCCTAGAAGCAAACATACGACTTATACAGAATGCCAACAACAGTCAAGTAACCAACCTAAAAATTAATCTTCAGTCTCAAGTTAAACCTAAGCAAAAGGATCAGAGACATAAACTTAATCTCAAAACACTTAAAACCAAAGTCACCTCAGATCTTACTAATCAAAAAAAATTTAATCTAATGAACCAACTCGTATCTTTGGGAATTATTTCTGCCTTAACTGTAGTATAAAAGCCAGAGACACCAGATTTGCGAGTATAAAACCTCTGAATACTGAATAAGCATATACTACTATAGATAATGGACGATGAAATGCCTTTAAATTTTCATGAGCTTCGCGAACAGTTTTCCCATCTTTCTTTTTTCTCCAGCAATGGCCATCTTTGCGGAAATATCGATTTTGCCCCCGGTTGAATAAGAACCAAGAACCACCTGAAAGTTAAAAGCATTCAAAATACATGTTAACTTTGCTAAGGAGATCAAAAGAAACTCTCATACATGACCAAAGGGAGATGGACAAAAGAAACTTATCCTCAAAGTTGTTTACACATGCAAATTATCTATTAAGTTTTAACCTGAAATATGCAGTAAGAGCTCATTTACAGTAGAATCAATGCAACCAATGTCAATAAAGAAAATTTTAAAATATAAATACTGCATGTAATCAGATTTATGTTATATAATTGTAAACCCAAAAAATTTCACCACTTATTCACTACTACAAATAACTGATGAGAAGATATCATATTCCCTTTTATACATCAAGAATTCGAAATGTATACCAAGATTAAAAGACATGCAAGAATGTATAATGTAGCTGGGTCGCCGACTATTTATTGTTCTTTTCTTCGCATGGGGTAGATAATTATCTAGAAGTACAATTTAAATTACACAAGAAATGGGGTTTATTAAGTCAATCAAAACATCGGAGTATGTGCATGTAGAACTTAAGAAAACAATAGCTTACTTGAGAATGCGAAAAATAAAAACTAATTATTCCAGCATATATAGCTAAAGCGCGCTATTACGAACAATTAATGATGAAGATGAAAGATATAAAATTGAGTTCAGCATTGCCGTAAACTCACCGGGAGGCTTATGAGGAGTATCCACATGCAAATGAAACTTTTCATGGTTTTGGAGAATTTCAGAAATCTCACTCGGGCGAAGCCATCGAGATTTCGCCTCCAAAGCAAAGTACTCAATTGCTGCAAAAAAAAAAAAAACACACACACACACACACATGGTTAATATTCGAATCTCCAACGTAAAGTTTGCTTGCAGTAGAATCGCATTATATACGCTAATATGCACTGCTCTACAAATCATACTGTTGAATTTTGAAATTTTTGAGGGCGGGGGAGAAAAAAAAAATCTTAATTTCTGTAGGAAAAACTCACTTAGATTACACGTCTTTGCGAGATTCCTGTTATCATTATCCATCACGAGCAAGAAAGAATTTTGAAGAAAAAAAAAGGGAAGCTTTATAAAACCCTAATTAGGGGGGGGGGGGGGGAGAGAGAAGAGGGAAGTTTTTAGAGGACGCTGGTGTTTATATGAGCTTGAGGGAGTTTGGTGGTTAATTTTGCAACTGACTCCCCTCCCTGGATTTTGTTTTTAGGCTCTCCGTATTTTCCGATAACGTAACTAAAATCCTTAATGTAATTATTACATGTAATCTGTAGATAGATTTTCGAATATTCTATTTTCTTTTGGAAGTGGGCTTGGAAATATACAGCATAAAAATGGAATCTTTGGTGTGTTTTTGTTTATACTTTAGTAACAGATTATTTTAAAATGTTTCAGTTTTTTTTATTTTTTATTTTTATTAAATGAGAAATTTTCATTATCTAGAACTCCAAATTTGCTCACCGTGGGCGATGGGCTGTGTTCAGAACGTAACTTATCGCGTTCAAAAAGAATTTTAAAGAATTGCGTGGGAGAACAAAGTTTCATTTTTTTAAAGAATTACTATATGTAGCAGAATGAACCATAAAATATTCAACCTCGTGTAAACAATTACTATATGTTAAGGTTGATCACAAAATTGCAAAAAAAAAAATACAACAAAGTGTGACATCAACAAGTCTACTAAGATAGTGATACTCCTTGTTCACCTTTGCAACTGCAGTTGTCAGCGGTTGTTTCTCTTGAAGGGAGAGGGATTTAAGGCCCAGCACAAGCATGAGCCCGAGACTTTCCCGGGCATTCCCGGAGGCCTGGATCTCTGTATTGGGCCGGGCTCAGTTCCTGGGTTCGATATTGGCGGTAGCCCGTGGCGGTAGCCCGTTTGGGCCCGGCAGAGTGGTGCCTTTGATCGGCGCTCCGGCGATCCCCGGCGGTAGAGCCGTACGCGTGGTTTGATTTATTAAGTAGTGTGGCTTGTGTTTTTGGTTTTACTAGTTTTTACACACGTGCAATGCACGTGATTTAATACCATGATTAAGTATTTTTAACAGTTTGTGCTCATTTTTTTTCTTTAAACTCTTACATCCCGATTATTTTTTTATGTTTGTTTAAATGGGATACACCCAATTTAAATTTTCATGTTGATATTTGAATTGACAAAAAACAAATATAATTTAAAAATAATTTGAATTTTTCATATTATTTTTGACCGATATGAAACTAAGCTTTATTTGAGAAAGTATAGCATTGCAAAGTAAAAAATATTAAAATAGTGTTATACAAGGAAGGTGAATATTTAAAACCAATATGGCAAAATGATTGATTTAAAGTATGTTAAAACGATGCAAAAGAGAATATGAAGTTTATTCCTAATCATTGATAGACTTCATAAAAAAATATAAATTAAAGATTAATGCTAACTCTAGTATACTTTTATATGATAAAAACATCCACATAAGAATATAAAAGTACTGAAAAAAATTCATGAAACTCCCTTCTAAAGATTCCTAATTTCACTCAAAATAATTAAACTATTCTATAAAATATTCATAAAATATTGTTTTTATTTCTTCTATTTTATTTTTTATTGAGTTAAGATCAATCCTTCTTCAGGTTTATCATTTATCATTTCTCGGACAATTCTAGAGTATTGTCTTCATCATCTACATCAATTGTGACATCAGGCTAATTTTGTATTTTTATGCTATTATCTTTCCTAGGCTCGTTAATTTTTTATCATCTCATTTAACTTTATAAAGAAGTCAAATGTACTTATGATGTTCAACACAAACTGCTCAAAATATAGACTTTGGTTTTTTTTCTATTTCAATAAGAATAAACATTAATTTCATATATATAAAATTCTTTGTGTTCCTAATTTATTACTTAAATAAATTAGAATCCATCTCTTTATTTTCCTCTAAAATGAATTCTTCTGATGTGCATCCAATAAGAATTTCTGTTATTTTAATAATATTACATTTGCTCTATCCCTGTTATTTTCCATAAATATCTAAACTAAATACCTGCATTATTCATTACCAATTTCTCTTAGATTATAATATTAATATTTAATTTGAAGAACACAGTATGGAATTTATGAATACTTACTAATTTTTCTTATGTCTTCCATGGAGATTTTTTCTTTGATTAGGATAAAGTTATTAAATTATTTTTTAATGTAACTCATTCAGTGCTTCATTAATAGATATGTCTTATGTTAATGCCAATTCAAGTGATTCATTGACGTTTTCTGAATTTTAGATTTATTTCCATCACTTTCCCATTTGCAATGGAAATAACTCATTTATTTTAAAGTTATCTCTAAATATTCTAATACTTTCTCCATATGTAATTTCTTGTATTCTTTTACCCTATAAATATTATTAACGTCAAAGATTAAAGTTTCTAAATTAAAATCAATTAATGCTAAGGTATAATATTATAGTGTTTTATCATTTCTACGGATTTAAACATCTATCAATTAATGTTACGAATGTATTTTGGCTACCCAAACTTATTAATAAAATTATATGAAATTACTTTAATTTATATGGTGCCGATAATTTTTAATCTATAATATTTTTAAAAATTTTATCCATTAACCGGATGTTTTTAATCAATTCTTATTGTTTTTGTTTACCAGTATCAACTTAGACTATTCTTAGATGCTGAAAATGGATAGTAAATCCCTAAATTAGAAATTTTAATATATATATATATATGAAAAATACCAAACAATTACACTTTTCTTTGCCAAGTTTTAAAATTTTAGCCCATTTTTGTGGTTTTGAACTTTGAGGGTGTGATTTATAATTTTTAAAATTTTGAAAGAGTTTTTAAAAAAATTTACTTTTAAGTTTGGTAGTTGTAAATTCTATGTTTCATGTGTTGGTGGTAATTTTTTAAATGTTAGTATATTTCTTGTAACTCTAAAATTTTAAGGGTGTCTTTTGCAATTATTAAAACTATAGATTAATTTTGAAAAATATTAAATTTCAGCGGTCTACCAATCGACGAATTTGATGTGTGCTAGTTAAAAATTTTGAAAATTTAGAGTTTTTTTTACGATTTTTAAATTTTGAAGGAGTTTTTTAAAAATTTTGAGGTTAATTTTGGCAAATTTTAATTTTTTAGGTGTCTAAGGGTAATATCTTGAATTCATCTTATTTTATTTACAAATTTTAGAATTTTAGGGTGGCTTTTTATAATTTGAACTTTTGAAGGTGTTTTTATAATTTTTGAGATATTGATGGTGTTAATTAAAAAATTTAAATTTAAATGTCAAAAATTTTAGGTGTATCATGGTAATCTCTTGAATTCATCTGTGTTGTTTGTAAGTTTTAAAATTTTAGAATTTTAATGTGCTTGTCTGTAATTTAAACTTTTGAGGGTGTTTCTATAATTTTTGAGACATTGAGGTGTTAACTGTAAAATTTAAATTTTTTGCAAACTGATGTTAGTTTTTTAATTTCATGTTTTTTATTTTAAGTTTTGAGACATTTGGATGAGTTTTATAATTTTAAACTTTTCAGGGTCTTTTCTGCAATTTTAAAACTTTTTATGGTTTTTTGCAATACTTCATGTATTATAATATGTTATCTACTTGTAATTTATTTATCTTAACAAACTAATATCATTTTTATATTTTATATATTTTATTAATATTAGTTTTTTAAAATTGTTAAGCTAAACATGGTTCACATAGGATTAGGATAAGATATGATTATGATTAGAATAGATTAAGATATAAATAAAATATTCAAAATAGTGAAGAGTAATATTGACCATTGAAAATTAGAATTTGATTATAGATAAGGTAGTTCAAACTATAAAGGGGTATATTTGTCTAAAAAAGATTTTCCGAACTCGTGCTTTTAAAGGGAGTATGATGGAAACTTTGACCACTCTATCAAAAAAATTTCTAAGTTGTGGTGGTGCTTGGCGGTTATAATTTTATACTTTTATATGTTTCTACGGGTTGAACCTGGACTTTCAAAATAAGATTTAAATATGCTTCACGAACTCTCAGTCAATAATACTCAAATCTAAATTAGCGTGGTGCCACGTCCAAAACTCATGTGCTATTAAACAAGAATCCCAAAGTTTTAGCAAAAGTTGATGGTTATGTGTTCTGATAATTTCAGTTTTAATAGCAAAAAATTTTGAATTGCTGCACCATCTCACGCACATGTTGAAGTCCTAGTCCGACTGCATGTGAATGTCAGAATCCTAACTCGATCGGAGACAAATATTAACATCAGTTTAATTTTTAAACAGGATGGGTATATAATTTGTTTAAAACCTCTGACAAATCTGAATATCTGAATGCTTGATAACAGGATTTTTTTCAAATTTGGTCCCTTAAAAAGTGAGATATTAGTCTCCCCACTCATTGAAACTATTATCAGGTTCCCCAGCCTCTAATAAGCTGTCTGTTTTTTTTTTTTTTTTTTTGACAAGGGAAACCCGGTCAGCTCTCCCAACAATAACTCCTTTGGAGTTCGCGAACGGCCCTGGTTCGAATCCCTCAGGTTCCCATTTTTCTGAAAGGAGCTACCCTTACTACCAGGGGCTCATCCCCACGTGAATGGGCGATCAGCGTGGGACCCTAAAGACCTCGCACTGGTGAGCATACAGCGGGTTAGGTTAACTGACCAGTAAAACCCCGGTTTCTGTCCTCACCCTTAATCTACAGAAACCAGGTGAATGCGGAAGCGGGGATTTGAACCTCTGACCAACTAGGGAGATGAGGAGATCTCCTCCCTCACTCTTCGTGGCGCTAGCCAGAAGTCCCACCCGCGGGTGGTAAGCTGTTTTATATTAATCCCCCCAACAAGAGAATCCCTGCAAGATATAAAATTTGAGGGATCTAATAGCATATCCAATGATTCTAGACCAATTTCAGAATGTCTATCTATCTATACGTACTATATACTTAAGAGAGACATCTTCTTTAGCTTGGAACAACATTCTGAATATCAAAAACACCCTCACACTTACTCAGAAAATGCTTTCCTGCCTTGAAAAAGAACAGGAAAATGGATAGGCGCCGCCACTTAGAGAAAAAATAA